AAAAAAAAAAAAAAAAAAAAGTTAAAGTTCAATTCAACAGTTCTTGGGTCTTTGTTTTTTTAAGAGTTTGATATAAAAATTTCAAGGGCATGTAAATGCACATTATGTTAGATTTAAATAAATCTTTGATGCAAATAAAGCTCCGTACACGTGTTCAGATGATCTGGGGGAATTCTCCCAGTGTTGCTGTTCTGGTAGAAAAACTTAACTGAAGATACCTAACAGACATTCAAACGTTGAGCCCCTGAAAAGTGTAGAGTTTGCAGTGCCGATGCTGTGCAGCCTCTTGTGCACACATCTCCATGTGGTCTGCAAGCTCCTTTACTTTGCTTGGTTACAGATGTCAGCAGTGCATAGTGAAGCCATGATTGGCTGATGCAGACTATTTCCCTGCAGCATATTATGGGGGTTGTGAAGAGGGTGTGTTTTTTTTGCTCCATTTTACAGGAGTAGAAAAGTCCAACACAAATAACTAGAGGTAGGGGCTCCTGGGAGACACTACGCTTTAGATGCGATTAAATCGTTAATTGCCTCTTAAATAGTAACCTGGCCACAAATTCATTCAGTTTAATGGTGGAATAAAATGGAATAGCCACAAAGTTATTACATGAAAGAAAATGTGTAATAACTTTGTGGCTAATTCCCATAATGCCATAAATTGAATATGTGACCAGTGCTGACCAGCTGACTAGCACTCCCAGCCTGGGCAGCACAGTGGATCCTTGGAGGGTCCCAATTAGCTGGGAGACTCAGCTAATTGCAACTCCCACCTGTGGGGCTGCCTGTTGCCCTTGGCTCTGATGCATTTTTCTGACTGGGAACCCCAGTCAGCTGACCAAAGATCCCAGTTGTGAGAGTGCAGTGGATCCAAGGGCTCTCCCTGCACTGGCAATATGGTACAGTTGGGATCTGATCCATGATCCCACAGTTATGCCTCATTGCCATGCACACAGGGTATGGCAGAAGACACTATTGTTGGGATTGCAGATCACATCCCATCATACCTTTAATTGAATGTTGCCTGCCTCAGAAGGGAAGGTGTATGGACATTCTCGAAGCTGAAACTCACTGGAGTGATTTAACTCTCTGTTCCCAGGTTATTCTTCTCTTGGAGTGGCTTTTTTTGCTTTGTGAGAAGAAATCAAAACTTCCATATACCTGTAAAGCAGTGACTCTTCCAGGAGAAACTGAATGTCTGTATGGGGCCTAAATTAAGTGACTTAAGACAGCCAAGAGTAAAGGGCAGCCATTAGAACCATGTAGATAGTGCAAGACTGTGACTGTTAAAGGCCCTGCTTAATCCACCTTAATTTTAAGGGCTATCTTGTTCAGATACAGCATGTGCTCAGCTGTTTACACTTTATGGCCCCTTATAAAGGAATTACCTAGTTATTTGTAAGGCCTGTAGATTGAGTCAGTGAAACTAGCCAATAGACAGTTTCTCATCTGCTGTTAGAAGCTGACTAGAAGTCATCAAGTGCAGGCACTTTTTCTCTTTTCAGTTGTATCTGCTGCTGCAGACACATAGCTGATACTGCTGCACAGTGGTTGCAAGGGCGGCTGTGTTGTTCAAACATCTTTTGCATATATCAGACAAATAACTGTTTGCTAAGTGTGCTGCTGTAAATGGGGTGGACTAAGCAGATTCCTCTTGTTCTTGAAAGGTGTTCTTAGGGGGCTCGAGGTTTTTTTTTTTTTTTTTTTTCAAAAGTTCTTTCTCTTAGTTTTACTTTCATAGATTTCATAGACATTAGGGCTGGAAGGGACCTCAGAAGATCAAGTCCAGTCCCCC